CTGTTCTGTACAGAGTGAATTATTGCTTCTTGCTGTGAAATTGTGTTCTGCTGATTGACATCACTGAGTGGATCTCTTGTTCCTCGTTTTGGCCTTCCTATGCTTATCTCATCCATGTCATCAGAACTCTTTGCGATTTATAAGTCTTCATTCCCTTGATCCTGGCCCTAAGGCCTTCAGAAACAGTAATAGAAACGTCCCTGGCAAGTGAAGGAAAAGTATGAGATTTTCAGCCAAAATGACTAACCAAAACTTGTCCCTAAGGATGTGGCACTATTTACAGTCTTATCTAAATGTGGGAAACATTAAGGGTAGTAAGTAGCTCAGTCTGTGATCTGCTCCTCTGTGGCTGAAAGCAACTTTACCATGACAAGCATCTGACTACCAGCTAAAAGGGCTGTCTTTGAAATCCGCATTCTCTCCAGATTAGTATATCTGAAAGAAAATCTATCATGTCTTTTGTCCTTGCGGTGCTTTCATGTATTCACCTTCCTTTCCACGGAACGCATCTCAGCAACTACTTCTCTATAACCTTTAAAAAAAATCTCCTGTTATTTATCCTTTCCTGTTAGGAGCTTTATCCTTGGAAAGGAATAAAGTGAGTCTCCTGATTCTGAGACTATCCTGTCCATCTCCAATCCTCTTAACTTTCCTCTGGCCAGCAATGAACCTTTGCATTATTCCAAGAGCAAGAAGGGAGTCACAGGGCTGACAGGGATGCTGTGAGTCCTAGTCCAGCTCCCTGTCCAAAGGAGGATGAGCTATAGCTTTATCTTTCCCAGCAGGCATTCCTCAGAACCTACAATGCAGGAGATCCTTCAATTGGCTTGAACAAACACTCCTGTGTTTCTCAGACTTTCCCATTAGAGAGCTGTGCCTGTCCAAGCCACTCTCTAACCTGCATATTACTAATATAGAAGAGCAGAAGATACGAAGAGACTAGAAGAGCAGCAGAAAATGTTCCTTTCTGGGAATTAATGCCAGTCCAGTTACTTCATTAGTTATAATTTGACCACTGACAGAAAATGTGAAACAAACCTCTACCAAATGGAGCAATGGAGCAACAGTTAATCTTCAGGCTAACTCAAAATGTAACACGAACAGAAGTACCTAAAGAAATAGAGAAATAACAAACAACAACAAGGAAACCTGTTCGTTTAAGACAGTTAAGACGAGCTCAAAAGTATCAGAAAACTAAGCAGGGCTAGAAGTGTAGTGTTTCACTCTAGTAGCGTATTAGATAACTTGAACTTAATCTTGACATAGTCATATAAAGAAGAATGAATTTTAAGGGGACTTGTGGCTCTAAGACAGTTAAGACGAGCTCAAAAGTATCAGAAAACTAAGCAGGGCTAGAAGTGTAGTGTTTCACTCTACTAGCGTATTAGATAACTTGAACTTAATCTTGACATATTCATATAAAGAAGAATGTGGCTCTAGCACACAACCCTGTGCCTAAAGGACATGATTTATTGTGCTCCAGGATTGTAATTTTCTATTCACTATATTAATTCAGATTCAAAATTGCCAGTATTCCTGAAAGAGAAATACATAGTTGTGTCCTGCTGCTTGAAAACCATCTCCCTTCGTCTGTTCTGGGAGATGACTGAATGCTACTCTGACTTAGAGCTATTGTGTCTTGCTGCTTCTACTTGCATACTTTCCCCTCTTATATTCCGTAGCGTTTTTCCTCCAACTGTGTTATGCCTAGCACCAAAAATAAAAATGCAGAGAACACCTCACTGCTGCAAGAAAGGGAACAGCATCTGCCCAGTTCTGCTCGCAGTTTTCTTTAGGAGACAACATGACGAACAGGCTCAGAAGGTGGGGTTTGAAGTGACTGTGTGGAGGGCAGCCACTTCCTCAGCAGAAACCAGGAAAGCAAAACAGAGACTTCTTGGGGAAGTTTTCTTGCCCCAACTTTAAGCAAGTAAAACCAGACTCCATGGCTTTCTTCCCTTTGGGCAAAATCTGTGCAGGTCTAACCCTCTTGTCCTCGAGGTCTGAAAGAACAGCGTGTTTTTAATTTCTATTTCCTCTAAGAAAAAGATACGAGAAAATTAAAACCGGAAAAGAAAAAAACTCATGAGTATCTCATGACTGATATGAAACTGCCTTCAGAGCTCCCTACATAGCAGAGAAACCTAGTACCTGATTGGGTTGATATGTGAGTATATGTTAGTAGCGATAACTAAGTACTTACAAAACAGTGTCATAAGTGTTTGTGCTTGCATACACTCATGTAAATACTTGACCACCTACACACCATATCAACCTAAATGTGAAGGAATTGTTGTTTGTTTGTTTGTTTTTTTCCGGAAAATAACCCCAGAAATATACAACTTCTGATAATTAGGTTGCTCTGTCCCTGCTGCCTATGCCTTGCTGAAGCAATATAATGCAAGGACCAGACTTCCTCAGAGTCACTGACGAAAATGAGGAGTAATGAGAAGTCCTGGGCTAAATTCAGTGTCCTGTGGAAAGCCTGCCTGGACAAAACTCATCCAGCTTTCCTGTAAACACATCTGCAGAATGCAAGGTTTTGAAAGAAGACTATGTGGGCAGGGATAGCTCCTCCATGTGTTGCCCCTTGTGCCATAAATGCCTTCCCCACTTACAGTAGAAATATCAGGAGTCCCCAGGAGAGGAACAGGGCTCTCACATTTCCATGAGGAAAACCTAAGCAAATGCAGATGGTGCATGGGGAGCCCTTAACTGCAGTGTCTCTGCAGGAAGGACAGCATCCCAGGTGTACAGGAGTCAGTCTGCACGTGCTGTGTGGTTGATACGAACGCACACAACCGGTGCCGCATCACTGCAACAACCGCCGAGTGCTCAGCTGCAGCACACCCAGTACACGGTCGTGCCGCCCACCCCTGCTCTTCCAGGGTGTCCTGCAAATGAAAGGAAGCTGCTGTTTGTCCAAGCTGTTGGATATTCAACAATATCTGGAACAAATGGCTGAATTCCTCTTCTCCATTAGGGACAAAATTTCCAGTTGAGGAAGAAAAACGGAAGGGTTTTGTAAAGATCTTTAAGAGAGAAGTCTTTAGAAGCACAGAACTGGAGCAGGCAAAGGGAATTGCCCTACCTCCACTCTGGAACCACTGCCTTATGTCACAATTGTCTAATTAGGTACTTTTATATTTTTCTTTCCCTTGCTATTATGCCACCTGCAGAGATTTTAATAATTGATTTCTATTAAAAAACGTATGTGTTCACATTCAATGGTGCTACTTCTGATGGCAACAAACATCAAATTTTGTAGTATTTATTTTTTTACAGGTAAAACCCCTGAAATCTTCTTTGTTTCCAGGAGTTTGTTTTCTTTTTTATAACTAGGTAGAATTTTTTACATCTCAGTATGCATTTAAAATTGTGACTTCTTTCTGAACTCCTAGGGATAAGGAAAAATTCAAGATTCCACAAAAGGTCCCCTAATTATACTAACTGATTGCAACAGACAGGAGTGTGATTCATCATGAGTGAAAATTATGCTGCCACTGGGAGTGGCAATGGCTTTATATCCCATCGCTCCAGAAGCCCTATGATCAAACTCAACAGTCAAGCTGACACCATCAGTCCTGAGGAGAAGGTAAATATCTCCCTGACCTTTAATTCTAACCTTTGCAAATGACATAACTATGAAATGTCTAAAGATTGATACGTGCACTAGTGATGTACATACCTGCTTAGCACATACATACAGTCTATAACATATTTTGAGGAACTGAGAATATTTTCAAGATGCTGTGCAATGTTTTGGATTACATTAAAATGTATGGGCTGTGGGATGAAGCTGTGCTTAACTTGCACAGAGGCTTTACCAGGTGTGTTTCTAAAGAAAATTAAAACCAAATCTTTTCCCACTTCTTCTGTATGACCCAGATTGCTAACTTATGAGAGCATAATCTTTCTACACCATTCCATCTTTTAAATATTTATACAGATAATTTAATTTTTCTTGTGTAATGGGGCAAATGTATCTTCTGCATCTGTGGAGAAAGTTATTCAGACTCAGTAAGAATCAAAACAAAAGTGACTTAAAATAGTGAAAACTCTAAAATACTGAACTGGCTTTCTAACAGATCAGATGCCTCTACATCAGTTTACTGGATGAAGACACTGGGAAAAGGCTTTCATAAGAAAGGAATTCTGTCCTAGGTGTAAGATGTGAAGAGTTTTGCAGAGCATTCAAGATCATCTGTTAGTAATAATTGTGATCACAACTGAAGTATACCTGGGAAAAGTGTTAAAGCTGCAGCTAAAATAAAAATATGATTGGAATTTTCTGCTAATAAACAATGTGCTTTTGTTGAAAATCTTGCTAAGTGAGCCTATCTGTAACTCAGTTTTCTGTCAAATGGTTGTTAAGCAACCAGCCTCAGAAGGACATGGTATGTGAGGCACAGCACCGCTGATTAATACACACAGGTTTTAGAGAGAGACACAGCGAGTGAGGTATGATCAAGGGGTGTAATTAATAAGTGCTATGCCTAGAAGACTCGATGCAAGAAAGATTGGGACATAAAGTGAGCTGGGTCTGTGGTTAGGACAAAGTTAGGGCTAAGTGACAAAGCCATAGCTGTTGCTTGAGCTGGAGAAACAGCTGAACTCGGAAGACTGTTTCTGAAAATGTGTTTCTCCTGCCATTCAGGGTGTTGGTTTTCAGATTCACTGTGAAATCCCAGACGTGGAGAATCAGGAATCTTCCGTGAAGTGCTGAACAATTCAGCCACATTCCTGAAGAAGACCTTACCGTGCTCTACCAAAGCATCTAAGCTTAGCACACCTAAGGATGAGAAGCCTGAATCTTTGTTTCCCTTGTTGCAGGTGATCGCAGCACCACAATGTGCTCTCTCAGTGCAGCCAATGCCAAGTTCTGTCTTGACTTTTTCAGAGAGCTGAGCAAAAAAAAAAGAAATGAAAACATCTTCTTCTCGCCGCTAAGTCTCTCAGCTGCCTTTGGGATGGTTGTCCTCGGAGCCAGGGGCAACACACTCAAACAGATTGAGAAGGTAGGTTGCCTTTGCTCTGAAAAGAGAATGGTGGCAAGATATGAGCCAAGAGGCTGGTAGTACTGTCTGATACAGTTCCTAAGTGATGCACACAGAGGGCCCTTTAAAAATACTCTCTTTATGCTATTCCTAATACCAAACTTTCTCAGAATAAACGGTATTACAGTCATTGATCATTCAATGAATACATCGGTGCTAAAAAAAGTGTTTTGAAGATATTCCTCCACTCTCCAGGGCTCAGAAGTGGTGGTTCTCTTTGATATGGTCTTCTGCCTTCTCTGGATATCCAGTCTTCTTTCTTAAGAAGAAAGATTTCAAAGATTTCATGAGCTCACCTTCTACAAAAACTTCTTGTTCACTTGCAAGGATCTCATGTTAAAGGACAAACTGGACTTTCCCTGTTGACTATGTCTGGTTGTGTTTTGGGATAGGCTTGCAACACTGTTTTAGCTTTGAGGTACTGTCACTCAGCTTTGAGGTACTGTCACTCAGCTGCATCCACCCAACTTTTCCATTCCAGGTATTTCATTTCAGTGAAGTTTTGAGCAGTACAAGCCAGGGAAACAGATACCCTTCTGAGAAGGTAAGATGCAGTTGCAGCTCTGAGATGAAGCAACAGGTGCTGGTTTGTCAGCCCTTTTCCTTGCAAAAAATTACTTAATCAGAAAGCATGGCAGGGCTGAGCAGCCTCTCTCTCTCTAGATTTGCAGACCTACTTATTACTGTTCTTTTATTAGTTATTTAAGGGGCCTTGTGAGATCACACATTTCAACAGCTAAGCCTTCTCATTATAGGTTTCTAACCAAAAGAGCTGTACCGATCTAAAATGTGATAAGTGCTTAATTGCCACCTGCAAAGGTGTGTCTACGGGACATGCCAAAGTCACCTTGGGGCTTGCTCCTCCCAGGCTCTAAGCCAGCAGACTTTTGCTCAGTGTGCACAGAGCCGTGACTGCACGATACGATGTGATTGGGAGGGGGACTTAGTGTGGGCCTGAAGGGGAACTTTTTGTCATTCTGTACATCTGGTATGGGGGCAGTTGGAGGTGGTGTCCTGATGCATTTATTCCGATGCCTATATCAACTGGGTGGGGTCAGGCTTCTCCTACAGAAAGAGGCTGCCGTTCACCCTCAGCCCCAGCTTTGCATAGGAAAGCTCCAGCCTTCCATGAAATTTCTGTTTTCCTGTTTGAAGTGCGAAGAAGCTGGAGGAGTCCATTCCCAGTTCCAGGCTCTGCTGGCTGCAGTCAGTGAACCCAGACCAGGCTGCTCTCTCACCATTGCCAACAGGCTCTTTGGAGAAATTACTTATCCGTTCTTCCAGGTAAGTGGCTGTGGTGTCCATTTTAACAGCTCCTGGGAATTATGAGCTCAGCAGAATTTCTTCCATCATAAAGCACAGAGGGAAACGAAACACAATGGTGCTGTCAGGGTGTGCTGCCAAATGACTGCACTCCACAGCTCTTGCAGTCAGGGAGCTTTTCCATCTCAATTGCCTGGTGGTTAGTGGTGGGGAACAGCAGAGCCCTGCGAAGCCATGACTTAAAAGCTTTTATATAAAGAAACAGAGCTACAGTAACAACTCTCCCTGGGTATTCCAGAAAATGTGATGGCATTAGTCGCTGTCAATACATCCCTGCCATGCACACCTGGTGTCTAACAGAGCTGGCGCTTGCTGCATAATATCTATCCAAGGAACAAAGCTCTGTGACCAGCAGAAGACTTTTTCTCCCCCAATGTCTTCTGTGTTTCTAATAAAATAATTGTAATCACTGTTCCAGCTTTCCTT